GATCCCTCTTCTCCACATTCTCACCAATACTTCCTCTTACCTTTTTGAGAATAGCCATCTTAACAGATGTGAGGTGATATCTCGTTGTGGTTTTGATTTTCATTTCCCTGATGATTAGTTGAATGTCCCTTCACATACCTGTTGGCCATTTGTATGCTTTTTGGGAAAAAAAAAATATATTCAGGTCTGCTCATTTTTAATTGGATTATTGTTATTGTTATTATTGTTTGCTATTGAGTTGTATGAGTTCCTTATATACTTTGGATATTAACCCCATATCAGACATATGGTTTGCAAATATTTTCTTGTGAAGGGATTTTCCTGTGATTCTGGTGAGAGCTCAAAAAAGAAAAGGGAGCTGGAGAGAAAGCTTCCTTCGTCTTAGAGAACACATAAATAATCATGGACAGAACATTGGTAGAAATACGGATGGTGAAGGCCATTCTGATGAGGTCTGAGATGGAAATGAGAAACAAGTTATTGGAAACTGGAGGAAAAGCGATCCTTGTTATAAAGTGGCAAAGAACTTGGCCGCGTTGTATTCACGTTCTAGTGTTTTGTGGAAGGTAGAACAATCGAGGTATAGTTAAGTCACTTGCTCTCAGATATGGAGCCAGTAATGCTGAAGCCAGGATTGAACTGCAGCTGGAGTCTTAACCACTACATCCCTCTCTCCCACCGAGGGTAGACAGTGTGGGGACGGGCAGTTCTGGGAGAGGGGTTAGGTTCAAGAATGCTGAGGCCAGAAGAAATTCTTCTATCACTGTGATCATGAAGAAGTGTTACCTTAATCAGGCTTTTCTATGACTGCCTCACATTAAATGATAATCTTGTTTTAGAGCTTTTCCATTTTAGGAAGATGGAAGAGCTGTAATAGCTTTCATTCCAGGGGCCTAAAAAAAATCAAATGAGACTGTGTATGTGGAGGTGCTTTGTAATCTGCTAATGGGATGGGGATAATATACTTCTTGCCCAGCTTACAGCACAGTATCTGACATGGAGACACTTAAAACACTCATTATCTATTTGTGAATGAATCAGCCTATGACACAGGAAGAAATGAAGTATGCCCACATGCTCTCACACACACACACACGCACACACACACTGTATGTACACTAGATTGGGAACTCTGTGGGTTCAGTGTCTGTGCCCTCTCTGAATCCCCAGCATCTTACGAATGCCCTGAAAGGAGTCAGTGCTCAGTAAATGCTTGTGATTAATAATATTATAGTGCTTGTCTTTTCAGATGGGGTTTTTATGGGATAGATTCTCTTTGGGGGCAGATGGAGGGATTGATAGGAATCACCGACTTTATTACTTCAGAGCCCCATTTAGATATTCTACACAGTGGGAGGCAGGGGTCTGAGGGTTAAGTGTTGAAGGACTGCAGCTGGGAAGGCAGCACTCCCAGGGACTCAGCAGCCTGCTCCTCCAGTCCCTCCGCACTGCAGGAATGTGGGGTGTGTATCACAGTGGAGGAAACAGGACCCATCATAGAGACAGGGTTGCTTTGTTTCCTGGGGGGGCTCTCTTCCCTGGTGCATTGAGCCAGATAGTGGGTTGTTCTCCACCCAGTGGCCAGAGGGTTGGTAAGTAGTCTTGTCCATCAGATAACGAAGCCAATGAGTTAGGCCTGTTTTGGCATTTAGCTGTGGGACTTGGTGTGAACAGCATGGCCTTTGAATGATAGGGTCACAGTGGCCTGGTAATTGCTGTGATCAGTGCAGTTGTTGATCCTAGGGACCGCAGCAGGGGAGGATCATGGGACTGGGTAGGAGGACCAGAAGTCCAGCTTTGACCAGAGATGCAGAGTGACTTACAAAGGGAGTGGAGTGCTGCAGGTGCAACACAATCACCAAGTTCAGGTGAGGTGACCTCATCTGGCCCAGGGCTCTGCTGAGTGCAAGAAAGAAAAGAAAAGGGTGTGTGTGTTGGGGAAACAGTGGCAGTGAATGGAGAGGACAAAGGCAGAAACATCAGAAAAGCTCTACTAATCTAAATTTGTGGCCGGTTCAGTAAAGCTCTTGTAATTGAGCAAGTGCAAAGGGAGGCTACCAACCCATACCAAGCACACAGGAAGAGAAGCAGAACAGAGAGCATCAGACAGACTACGGTTGTGGCTGAGACCCACGATTACTACCATCTCCCTGTGGAGGAGGCCTCATGGTCAGAACGAGGGTGACATTTATATGTATACAATAGAAATGTTTGCACTGACTGCTAATGTAGTCCCATCAGGCTCCTGTAACAGAATACCATTGACGGGGTGGCTTAAACAACAGAAATTTATTTCTCACAGTTCTGGAGGATGGGAAGTCCAATATCAAGGTGCCAGCAGATTCAGTGTCTTGAGAGCCGCTTCCTGGTTCATACATGGCTGTTTTCTAGCTATATCCTCATATGGTGAAAGGGTCAAGGGAGCTCTCTGGGGTCTCTTTTATAAGGGCACTAATCTCATTCATGAGGGCTCCTCCCTCTGACCCTATCACCTCCCGAAGCCCCCACCTCCTAATACCATCACATTGGGGGTTAGGATTTTAACATACGAATTTTAGGGGGAAACATTCACTCCATAACAACTGTTTTACTAATTCTGTATATAACTTACTCTAGTACAATTTCTTGTTATCAAACAGTTTGTTAATCTAAAGTTTCAGTTAAAAAAATTAGGCACTGCTGAAAAAGAAATTACTGACCCCGGACGGACCCAGCTAGTTATTTTTCAGCATTTCTACCAAGGCCAGGTATATGATATCATGGAAGGAATTGCTTTACAAATAGCATCCCAACCAGGGACTTTCAATCTTTCCTAAACAGGGAAAGGTGAGAAAGCTGATGTGTTTAAAGGTTTCAACTCCACCAGACGTTTCGGTAAGACTGTAGGTACTTCGTGGACATCGTGGACACATACTCATTTAGTACGAGCCTGGGGGAGCAGAATTAGGATGAGGTGGTGCCAAAGCTGGCTAAGCATTATTCTTAGGACCTAAATATTGAAAAAGTTACAAATTCTGAATGAAATAAGGGGATTATTTTCAGCCAGTAGGGAAGTTAATGTTACCCTAACTTTTTGACCCTATTTCATTTAATCAGGGTTTTAGCACTCACAGCTATTCCAAAACTATTGATTTTTATAAAACTTGAGCCTGAAAAACAGACAAAAGACTATAGATGATATCTGTCTAATGATTTATCTTAAGAATCTGTGAACTGTGGAATCATGATTGTTAGGACCGAGAGACACCTGCTCACCTTTCTGAAATGAGTTGCTGAAAAGATATTCTGAGATTCAGAAAGGGTAAGGGATACAGTGTTGACCTTTTGGAGACAGGAAACCTTTGATGAACTATAGGACACCAAGACAGTTCATTTAAAAGATGGTTTCAAAGCATTATCTGGGGCTGGTTTCGTATGTGCATTACTGAAGCCCTTGGGTTGTCTTTTTACATAAACCCCGTGAAATAATGGCTTCTCATGTGGCATCTTGGCTTCTGGGCTTTGTAACTGCTTTCAGTGTCTTCTGTGGACAAAATTAAACTTTCCTTACCATTTGACAGCATATAACTTTCCTAGATGGGCGTTAAGGAGAAAAGAGACAGGAAAAGGTCACCGATACCATCTCCATGTAATTAAGGCAGCTAAATAAAATTGTCACTAATGACATTTACTTGACTGTATCATATGAGTCCCTGCTCTGGCCTCCAAATAAGTTAAGGATCAAATGCTTGTAATATGTACAGATTGTAAATCTTTGTTGCAGGTAATAAGGTATACATTTTTTTTAAGATAGCCTTATTTTAGGGCTGTGTTTAGGCTTGTGAATTCTCCCTCTTTGCCTCTTTCTCTCTACCTGTCTCTGTCTCTCTCTTCATCTCTCTCTCTATATATACATATGTATGTACCTACACTCACATTTATGTATATGGATGAACTTACGTGCCTACCTGTATACATACATGTAAATGTGCATATGCATTTGTAAGGTAATAATAAGCAGTGGAGGGTAAGTTAAAACTTAGAAAAAAATAGCTTCAAATTTTGATTTATAGACTCAGATTGACCACCTACCAAGGTATAAGATGTACTCAAGGAACCGATTTGTTTTCTTTTAATTCTTAAAATAAAAGACCCTAAAAATCAACAGTAATCCATGAATTTTGGCGGGAAGGGTGGGGAGTTCTGGATGTGGAATTCATGAATTGTGTGGAGATATATATATGGAAGTTAAGACTTCTAAGCTGCTGAGCTTAAACTTAGAAGTTTATACCAGCAAGAATGAGTCCCAAACAAAATTGTGTTTTCCCCTATAGAACACATCATTATTTGGGTACACAATAAATAATTCCATAGGGATACTAAGAATAACACAAGATCCTGGCCTTCCAATCTTATGTGACATGTAATGTAAGTAACTCAAGGTTTTAGGGTGGGGGAGTGGAAGGTAACACAGAGCGTCCAGTTTGCCCTGGGGAAAGTTTGCTGGGAGAAGAGATGATTGTGGATCACGGGTCGTATCCACTAGCTAAGGGTCAGAGAGAGGCCTTGGCAGTAGAGGGACCGTGTGTTGTGTTCTGAAGACATGAAAGAATATGTTGAGGAAGTGCGTGTAAGTTTGCTGCTGGAATTTAGCGTGAAACAGGAGGCTGAAGAGTCCAAATTTCCCATCAGGCTTCCTCTGAGAAGACTTTCCTGACAGCCGGAGTTGGTAGTCTCCTTCTCTGTGTCCCCAGGAGTTTTGCTATTTCTATTGTTGGATTTTTCACACCCAATTTAATTGTTCATGTCTGATTTCCATACTTGTCTGCAAAATAAACAATGTCAGGACTGTCTCCCAGTTCTTATCATAAAACCTGGAAAACAGTAAGTGCTCAATACCTGTTTATTGATCTGGAGGAGTGAATGATTATGCACAGTTTGGGGATGAGAGAGTCAAGAATCACCTTGGCTATCAGGCAGCACTTCATAAAAATGTAAATGGTTTCATTTTTCTCTTCCAGATTGCTTGCAGCATATAATAGTCTTACCGACAAACACTTGACTGGATATTTTAACAACACAAGGATAAGGCGGCATCTCTTAAGATCAGGGCTGGTAAGATTTGGTTTCCTTCCCACCTGCCCTCTTGTTTCGTTAAATCCAGTAGTTCTCGCTCCCTTTTCTTGTTTTCTCTTTGAGCTAATCAGGGACATCACCCCCTCCCCCTCATTTTAGAAAAATTACTACTTTTCCAGAGCTCTGATTTATCTTTTTGAAGCTGTGTTTCAAAAGATAGGAAGAGAGGTCACAATGACCACTAAGGCTACTTATAAATTATTGAGAAAAAACCCTAGAGCTTCCAATAGCATATTTTACTTGTTTATTCATTCATTTATTCAACACATATTTATTGAACACATCGTATGAACAAGGAACTGTTAGGGATTAAGCATAGAGAAGACTTTACTGTCTTCAGGAAAAAATACTATTTTTAATAATCACAGAATATGGTGTGCAAGACATGAACAGTTCAAAATTTCCCCTTGAATTTTAAAAACCTATTTCATTTCCCAGATTGTTTATTGGTAACATGAGTGTCTTTCCTTAGCTCTAAAACTATCATTTCCACAGGATTTCCATTTTTCTAAATGTATTTAATGTGAAAACCTTTTAAAAATACTATAGTTGTCCATTGAAAGAAATGGGTGTGGTTACAGAAAGTGTAAGTAACGATTTTAGCTGTTTACCTTCTTAAAACACAGTGGATTTCCTTAACTATTGTTGCCATGGTGTTGAAAGGATTATGCATTGCGTTTCTACTTGTTGTTTATGTGCTTGGCACTCTGGTTGGGTAGATATCAAGAGAGCTTGCTTTTTGTCTCCTGGGGCTTTGTTATCAGACAGACCTGGCTGAAACCTGGGTCTACCATTTACAAGTCATAGACTCTTGAGCAATTCATGTACTTCACTTTCTCAGCTCCAGTTCCTTAGTTGTAAAATGAAGACAATGATACCCAGCCCTCAGGATTGTTGTGGCAATAAGAGATGTGTAATAAATGCTTGTTGCAATTATTGTGGTGACTATTAACATCACTTCTTTGGATAACAGTCTTGCGAGCTTTATGTATAAATGGGAAGGACTTTGTATTTACTCATCAACATCATTAACAAGCATTTATTGGACATTGGTTATGTGCATGACAACTCACATAAGGAAGATTTCTCTAGAACGGTGGTTCAAATACAGTTCCTGACTCAGCAGTGTTCAGCATCATTTGGGAACTTGTTAGAAAATGCAAATTTTAGAGCCTCACCCCAGACCTATTGAGTCAGAAGCTGTGGGGCGTGGCCCACCAATCTGTTTTTTTTTTTCAACTTGTTTTCTGATTCTGGTGCAGGCTCAAGTTTAAGAACTCCTGCCCTGTAGGAGCTTCCAGTCTAGTTGGGGAGATCCGATCTCCCAGAGGGGAGAGGACAATGACACCTGTTAACTGGGGAGGGGGCCACAGTACAGGATGCTCTCAACATTTTTTCTCTGTTGGAAACAAATGGCATGATATCCCATGGACAACACATTTCAAAGACTGTAACTGAGTTATTTGTGATTGGAAACACTTTCTAGAAGCATACCCCTTTCTTCCGTTGGGGGAAAAAAAAGATATATATATAAAAAGATCATCAGTATCCAGTCACTTGTAACACAACTCTCCTTGGTCTCTGAGCTCCAATACATTGCCACAACAGTGTTATAAAATTAGTTATCAAAGTCAAGAAATATGTGGGCTTGGATCAGACCTGAAGGAGCAGGGCATAATTAAGTGGAAAGGAAGAAGATGAACAATCCAAGAAGGATAGCACCCTCTGTTTACAGAAAATACAGAAAAATACAACAAATATGCCCTTAGGAAGGAGTAAGAGAAAAGAAAAACAAGTAAATAAAAAACAGAAGCTACCACTCCTGGCATTTTCAATGATACCAATTGAAATCAGTCTGGAATATTTTATATCTGCAGCACTGCATAATCTAAAAAAAATCTGAATCAGGACAAATTAAATTACATTCTGGGTTGAAGAGTGGAAGGAGAAAAAGCAGTGTGAAATAAATTAATGAAACCAATTACTTTTAAGACAAACTGATGAGCACCTCTGTAGCTTACATGTTTTGCCCCTCAGAGTTATTTCCTGTAAGATCATCAGTCTTGTGATCACTGCTCCTATTCATTGTTTCAAGGTAACACCCTACCTCCTCTTCCCAAATGTGTTCAAAAAAAAAGAAATGAAAGGAACACCTGGGTTCCATCAAGGAGACATTGTGACTCTAATGAAAACCTTGTTTTAAACGTCAAGTGCACCACCTGTGTGTGTTTTCTCAATGATGGGTATATGGGACTGATTTTTTTTCCTTATGAAATATTCATTAAAAGTGAACGTTTATCAGCCATAGTAGTGGACTCTCTCATGCTTAGAAGATAGCGCTACTCTCTCTGTGTCTCTCTGTCGCTCTCTCTCTCCCTTTTTGATAACGAACAATACATTTTCTGCTTTGTATTTCCATGTATGTTTTATTTATTCATGACAGATCACAAGAAGTGGAAGAATACTTTCTGAAAAAGAATACAAGCTAAATATCATGAAGAGGGATCACCAAAAATATATCCGGGATTGCCTAGCTCAGGCTATTTTCCATAAGGTTCTTGATATGGAGGTAAAGTATTTACATTTTCTTTATAACAGATATTTTCTAATATGACAATTAATACTCCCATACCCAGAAGCGGAGGCATTCCTCCTGTATTTCATGAAAAATGAATGGAACAAGGTACCCTGAAAAATACTCTACATCTCTCTAGGTAACAAGGAGCCAAGAGACTGAAGTAAGCTTTTCTCCATTTCAGTTAGGGAAAAATATGGACATCATTATATATTTTGTGGTATTTAACAAATGTAGATTTTTAATCCATAATGGCTACTCTAAAACATACCAGCCCTCACCATCTGTACCTCAATTTCCATTTGCTAAAAAAAAAAGTGACATCTGTTTAAATATCAGTAATTCCACTGCCATGAATTATTTCAGATTTGTTATTCTTTTAAGGTTCTGAAGCTGAGCTGTATGCTAAATTTCAGGGAAGAGGCATTGAAACATCTGCTGTCCTTCCTACTTTAGGCCACATTGGTCAGCATAGATTCATAAACTAAAGCATCAACAACTTTTTTTTCAAGTCTGACATGGCATTTTTAGTAGGATATCTAGCTAACTTGATAAATTATTTTATCCTTGCTCCATGGAACCTATAGTTTCAAGCATCAACACCATTTTAATCTCCTTGAAAAAGCATGTCACTTCCTGGCTTGGCCATACAGCAGTAAATCAGAGAACTTGGCTGGTAAAATCATTGACCTGTAAGTGCAGTAAACATTTATGAACAACTGTAGAATCACGAGTAAACCAATACTAAGCGGAGCGCCACTGAAAATATTTATTATTATGCTACCATTATATTGAGCAGTGCTGCGTTCAAATAAGATATGATCTGTTAATTTAGGAATTCATTTTATGCTTTATATCATGTGCATGAATTATATGGAATCATTGTTTGTGGTCCCCAAATTCTCTTGCTTATAAAAGTATTAGTTGGAATTCTGCAACTAGTGTTAAAAGAATAGTACAGTAAATTAATCTATACCTAGTTTCAAATTTAACCAATAGGCACCAAGTTAGGTATTAGCTTTGATCTTTGAAGTTTAGTTTTCCAAACTTTCATGTAATTGACACATCATAACTGTTAAATATGTTATTATTTAAGAGTCTTCATACATTCTTAAAGTTTGCAATAGATACCTTAAATAAGTGTTAATATGTAATATATAATATAATTTTATAAAATGTAATATATATAATTGTGATATGTAATATATTAATATAATTAACAAATGGAATAGCTGTCTCTAAATTGTCACATTTGTCTCACATTTAGTTTATGCCGATGCTGTTTACTAATGTTATATTAATATTCATGTATTTGTGCATACAAGAAACATCAATCATTAATTGTAGGCTTACCGCGTACCAGTATGAAGCTATGTGATGTAGCTGTGAGATATAAAAATAAAAACCCAAAGCCAAAAAAAGCAAAAAACAAAAACTACTGTAGAAAGTGATCACAAGCTAGAGAGAGGAAAAACACTGGGCTCACAGAAGAGGGGGACGATGACGCCTCTGTGAGAGTCAGAGGAGGGTGAACCGAGGTCTTGCTATTTGAACTGGACCTCAAAGGCTAAATGAGGCGTCACATGAAAGCGTGAGAAAGGCATTGGAGAGAGTGAGGATAGCAAGCGCGAGGTTAGAGAAGAAATGACATCGTGGATGGGCAGGAAAGCTCACTGAGGCCAGACCACACAGTGGGTTGGTTGAAAGAGCAGCAGGAAGTGACACTCTTCAGTAAGCTGGGGCCGGGTTTGTGGAGGGCCTTCAAACCCCAGCGAGGTTTGGAGTGTAGGTGATGAGGCGATGAGATGTTTTTTTCAGCAGGGGCGTGAAATAAATGAGCAGAGCCGTGTTAGAAAGATGATGTTGCTAAAAATGTGGGAGATGGATTAATGAGCTGGAAAAGATTGGAGGTGGGAGGTCAATTAGGAAGCTGTTGCCGAAAGGTGAGGGCTAACAGCAGTCGTGGAGACGCTGGGGAGAGGCCGCTCTCCCAGATGAGATGAGATGTGAACCGGGAGGGAGATTGACACTGCCTGAATGAGGAGGGCTGGGGAGAAGGAGCCAGAGCACCTCTGGGGGCGCTAGCGCGGCAGGTGGCGCGCGCACTTGCTGGAGCTCAGGGACTGCGGGCGGGGGAGGAGGGGTGCTAGGAGCTCAGGGAGTGCAGCGGGGTGAGGAAGAGCCCTCGCGCGGTGGAAAACCAGGCCCCCCCGAGAGGTGTCCTGGAAGCCGGCAGGCTCTCACAAGTGCCGAATGGTGAAACCGAGAAGTGCTGGGGAAAAGAAGGAATTCGGTTTGACCCAGGGACAAAGACGTTGGTGGCCTTAGTGAAGACGAGGGGCCGTGCGAGAGAGGGCTGCAGATTTGGAAATAAATGGAAAATGGCTGGTAGTGAGTGTAATGAGGTTTGGTGATCGGTGGGTGAGAGAAGGAAGAGGGAGAGAAGAAAGGGAAGTGTCTGAAGAGGACTGACGATACTCGCTAGGGAAAGATCGAGTCCGCAGGATCCCACAGGCTGCACGAGGGGATCAAGAACACAGAAAAAAACACTTTTCAAATGCCCTCAAATGTGTCTGAATGATTTCAGATAGAATCGTAAGCAGCTTACTTTTACATGAATAAACCTCATGTAAATTTAAGTTATCTAATTAAAATATTACAGAAAATTAGGAAAACACAAGAAAATATAAAAAGGAAAATAACCGCATAGAATCCTTCCTCCCAGAGAGGACCGCTGTCGACATACTCACATTTCCTTTTAGTCTCTATTCATATTTATGCATTAATAAAAACATGCTATGTTGTGAAAGGGACAGGGTCTTGTGAAAAATAAGTAAACAGATAAAGAGCAAACAAACAGGAAGTTAATGTCCAGTAGACTGAGCTTCAGATGACAGTTCCACCACTGACTAGATGTGTGACCTGGGGCAAATTCGTGGTCCTCTGCCTCAGTTTCTGCACTGGTAGAATGAGACTGCTTAGCAATTAGCATTGTTCAAGAAGAGATGACGGACATGATGCCCCTTCCTGGCACAGGAGCAGCCACACGGTGGGTGAGCTTGATCAATTAAACTGTATTTCTGTGCAATTCTGTATTTTACATTTTTCCTGCATGACATGCATTTTTCATTTTTTTAAACAAAATCTTTATGAATCTTATTTTAATGATTATATTCTATTCCATTATATGGATGTGCCCCAAAGTTAACCATTCTCTATAAGGTTTATATTGCTTCTGAATTTTTGCCTTGAAGAAAAAATTCCTTTCAGATAGCATCTTTGTGTATAACGCAGATGTTTTCTTTTAATTCTGATTTCCTGCTAGGTTAGGAAGTGAAATTTATCAATTAAAGGGTAGGGACACTTTTCACTGCTTTATGTTAAGAATTGGCTTTCCAAAGAGTTGTACCAATTCATATTCCCACTTGCACACTTATGCAGGTGATTCTTCTCCATCTCAGTGACAAGGGGGGAGTAAGTGGGAATACAGTTAGCTGGTGGGATTATTTTCCTCTAAAAAAATCTTTGCTATAATTGACATGATCCTCTCCTCCCTTCTTTCCCATATGCTTAGCGGTATCATCAACTTGAAATAAAAAAAAAACTGGAGACGTTAGCTAGGAAGGAGCGAATTCAGAGATTTAAGGTAAGGAGCTACATAATTCTCTTTACTTCATAATATTATTTTATGATTTTAAAAGTCAATGGCACTATTATTGAAGCTTTTTGAGGCACTTTACTCTTGAGTAACTCATAGCTGAAGTCAGGTGATGGTTTCACCAAGACTGTATCTTGGCCACCGTTATTTCAGAAGATCATGGCAAAATAGGTATAAAACACTTTTATAAGGTACAAAGCTTTCAAAGGAAACGTGGAAAACACTCTTTTCAAGTTTGAAATTTTGCTTTTGTCTTTTCTTGATTGATATGTAACAGAGGCCCAAGGATTTTTGTTTTGTGTCTTAAAAAGCTGAAAATAGATGGTGATGTTGCCAATGTGATGGGAAATGGCATTCTAAGAATTACCCAATGGCACATTTCCATGCAAATGTGACCCTTGAAAATAGATGGTAGGAAAGATCTACCTTGGCAAACAAAAGCATAAGATTTAGACATTCTGTACAAGGCATTTAAAAATTCCTTATTTGTTTTTATTTTTATTTTTATATTTGATATCCCTTCTTTGAAGTGAACTTATGAAACATATAAATTTGAATCAGGAGATGAGAGACTCAATTAAGTATGTCTGAAAGATTTCAGTTTAGGTTGGCAGTTTTATTCAGTTTCTCGAGCCATTCAAATGTGCAGGTGATTCTTCATTTTCTGTGTCATGGGGCCCAAGACACATTTCACAAACTGAGGAATATTTGTAAATCTTCTGGAGAATAAGTTGCCACATAAGGCGGTGATTTTTCCCTCTTGCCTGATAGACTCAAATCTGTCTATTTCATCATGGTCAAAAGATAATCTTGTTACAAAAGTGTTGTTAAATAACAGCCGATAGGTCAGTTTTTCAAGATCAGAAATGTTGGTGTGTAGAGATTTGTGGTTAATTCAACTTTGCCAATATTGTCCTACATCAAGGACTGAGTTATAGATTCTATAAGTTAGTGCTGAAATGTTGATGGAGAAAAATGGTCCCTGGAAATAGCAACGAACATTGCCTAAAGCCGTGTGGGATTTGTTTTCACCCAGATTGCCAGATAGGCTGACTAAGCACATGAACATGTTACAACATTGGCAGAAATTCCTGATAGACACTCCAGTTCCTCCCTATATGATTTTCATTCGTAACAACTTTCACTTTATAACTGCATTTGGTTAAAAGACCTATGATTTAGGTTCCTTTTATATAATATGCAACCCTTTTGCTTGGGGCATGATTTCATTATTTTTTTAAGGTAGAAAAGTAATAGTTTCTGGTAGTCTTTACTGATCAGAACTGTGTGGAATATTGTACTTCTTATAGTGATCTGCTTAAGCAGATTCATAAATATTATTGCTAAAACTCAGGATACACTGTTTCCGTAGCTATTTCTTTGAGTACAGCTATTTCTTCCAACATAGCAGACTGAAATTCCTGCCTCTCATTACCACACCCAATGCCCCACTACAGCTGTGGAAACGTTTTCTGACTGTCATGATAGGCCTCAGAAGGAACACTTTTGAAAGTAATGAGAAAGGACTTCTTTAGTAATATAGTATCTCTTAACCTGTCAGGCAATAACCTAACCTCAATTGCTAATTATGCATCAATTTGTTCACTTTCTTATTCTAGGGAGAACCCACAAGATGGTCTATAGAAAATAACATGCCAATCCTGTCTCCCCACCCCCCAGTTGGCCCAAAGACTAACCGTGGCCATAGTGTCCTAATTGATGAAGGACATTCCAGTCCAGTAACACTGGTGAGTCATATTAAACACTCTGTCATGTACCATTCTGACTAAATATTATATAATTTCTGGTTACTCTCAGAAGGAATTCTCTCTGAGTGCTTCTCTGTATAATCCTGTGAATCCTACTGAATGCCAATGTGGTCTTGTATCTGTTCAACTGTCTTTACTGAACGTCCCACTTTCAGTCAGTATCGCCCCTGTCAAATCCATTTTGCTTGTTACTGCTAGAGTAGTTTCTTTAAAGTGCAGATTACTTGTTACTTACATACCCAAATGCCTTCACTGGCTCTGTGACATTTTTAGAAAAACCTAGACTCTCTCACCTAACATTTAAGACCCTAAGCCATCTGACCTCAATTTAGCCAACCCAATATTTTCCCTCATGATTACCCTTTAGCACTCTACAATGCAGCAAGATTGAACCACTAGTCATTCCACTAATGTCCTATGTTTTCTGACCTGTAGATTTTGTCCTTGCTGTTCCCTCCACTCTCACCTTATCTGTCAAACTTATTTATGCACACAAACTCAATCATACTGTATAGCATGTTGGGCCAGATACTTATATTTGTGTTTCTTTTATCAAAAGCACGGGCACATACTCTAACATAAACATAGTTAAATGTGCAGAGATTCTATTTAAAGAAATTGCACAAACCGACATTTCATTCCAGTTCGATCCATTTATAATATAGAGATGGGATTAACCTGAAGGAAGGTGAGGTAGCTTGAAACAATATAGGTACAGGAAAAGATTTGCAGAATATTTGCGGGAGGTTGATGGTTTAAGTTGTAAATGAATTGCTTGATCACATCTTTATTCTTGCTTTGTGTGGCCTAATATATTTCCTTGTTAGCATGAACATTTTTTTTTGATTGCACAATATTTATAGAGAAATTGCAAAGCTTTAACAGATTGTTGAAGTAGGTTCATCTCGTATAGTGTTAAGCTTTGACATTTTTCAAAGGTAAATATGTTTTGACATTTCCCGATGAACAGCTCAAGTTATGAAAAGCGACCATTTTCCCTTTGTTGTTACCATATTTCCCAGCTTCATTTAAATGTGTACATACACAAACAATTCTTTTTTTGGATGGCAAATTCACTAGGCTCTCAAAAGCTTAACCTGGTTGAAACAAAAGAAACAATCAAGTGCTGTTTTCTATCTTCTTCCCACCTGTTTCAAAGAGGAGAAACCCTTGAAAGGCTTCCTTTTCACTTTTCCAGCTGAACACCCTCAATAAGTAGTTTATGATACAGCCAGGAGATCTTAATGTGGCAGGAGTGAGAAAGTAATTTAAAAATCACAGGAAACACTGATACCAGCGCCTCAGAAACCGTTCTATCTGGTAAGCCTCAGTTCTCCACTTGGTCACCCCCTATGGTGCTTCCGGACTGTAAGGGATACCTATTGTGACCTTGGAAGTGTAGTTCCCATTTTACAGAAATGCAAATCTTCCTTTTCGTTCTCCCGACCTGGATCCATATCCTCTAAATTTGACTCCTGACCTCCAAGTGTCCATGGAGATGGGAGATAGTAATCCTCTTGGGATATTGCCATCAATTTTTCTTTGAACTTTCTTGAAGAAAGAAAGAAAGCATCCAGTGAACAGTTATTGCACTTGGTCACTAATTGAACCTAAACCTTCAGAGTAACATACAGGCTTTTAGCTGCATCATTCCCATTAGAATTGTGGAAAGCCATTCAACTCATTCTGCACAAGCTTGGAAAAGTCACCCCCAGAGATCGTCTAGTAAGCATTAGAAATGCTCAGCTAAGCTGGGTAATCACCAGGTAGTCAATTTCAATTCACATTCCGGTACAGTTTTGAAAATGTTAAGCTAGAGTGTCATATTTATTCCAAGAAAATATATTACAAACAGTTTAAAATATAGCAAATTTAAGGTGGCTTCTGATGTGAACTACAACAGTTTGTAGCTCACAGCTGTTAGTTGAATGATGCAAATTTGTTTTTAGATATAAATGTAATCAGTTAAACATTTGACTGCCATATTCATCTAACTGAATGATATCTGTATGCAAATGTGGAAAATAAAATTTAGAGCACAGAAGCCAATAGATCATATTCTAGTTTATAGTAACCTGCTTTCTTGAATTCCTACGTTAGATTTTCAATGTGTTTGTGTTCAGTGGAATTACTTGACAGGAGAGAGTCTTAGGCGTATTTGTTTTACAGAGTTCAAAAGAATTCTTTTGGGTGAACTGATTCCCTTGTTCAGAAACCTTTAGTTTGATTTATCTTTGTGGGTTTAAAGACATTTTGCCTTTTGGCTCATGTAGTCTCATGTCCTGTTTCTTTAAATCAGATGTTGCCTTAGTCAATCCACTTGGCTTTCTGTATTGGTCATGAAATAAATAGGTTTGTGTGCAGAGACCCAAAATAACAATGACTTAAACATAAGGATGCCCTCCCCACCCCAACACAACTTATGTGAATCTCAGCTGGTGTGCTCATCTCTACTCTATCAAGTCTTCAAAAGCTCAGACTCCTAATTTGTCATTAATCTGCCAAACTTAGTGTGTTGTCTTCATTTACATAAGCCAAGATTGCAGATCACCATGTGGATATTTCAGCTACAGGGAAGGGAGTAAAGGGAAAGTGACAGCACACTTCTAAAGGTGTGATCTGAAGGTTTCATATGTCACTTCTGTTCACATCTTATTGACCGAAAGAAACTGAGGCATATATCTGTACAGAATTGCAAGAGATGCTGGGAAATATAGCCTTTATTTATGATAGCCATGTTCCCTGATAAAAATTCTATTACTAGTGAAGAAAGAAAAACAGATATTGGGGAATATTATTTTCGCTACCCTTCCCACGTCTGTCTAACAACTGGCTTTCTACCTATGGATGTTCAAATTTATCATTCTTCTTCTCTGCTCATCCGTTTTCTTCTCTTGCTTATACATTTGGATAAAATGCTTCTGTGAAAACTTGAATTTTTCCTGGTCTCATTGGTTTTTTCCAAATAACATTTAGTTCTGAGTTCTATTAGGTCTTAGATATTCTGTTATTTTTGTTATTGTCTGTTTGGCAGTATCTGCGTGGCTTATTTGGCATTAACTTTCATGTATTGCCATTAGATGTTAAAAATTACTTTTCAATTTTCTCATACTGCCTATAGTTGGAATCCAATGAATGTTGACTTAACAAAATCAGACATTTGGCAACATATGGCATGCTTGTCAAGATGGCACTCAGACCAGTTTTTGGTGGTAGGAGCTGCCCTGTCATCGTTTTTTTATGGATTTACACAACACTTTTCCAGAGCTGAATATTTGTTGTTCACTGTGCTTGAGTCAGTGCATTAAGCCTTACTCATGAGTCATTTACATGCCAGGCTTCAAACCCTCTTACCCAAATACATATGTATTATTCTTAACAGGTTTCCAACTTTTTCTTGTAATAGAACAACAGGGCCAAAAGCCTTGGTTTTTTGGTTTTTTCTTTTTGAATAATTGCTGATCTTTATACTAAACTTACAGTGTTCTGTCAGTGCCACAAACAGCATTTCTAATGCTCCGGACTGGTACTTTTGGTATTCTCTGCAGTACATTCTCGATTAGAAAATGCACCAGTCAGGGTCTCAGCAGGAAACAGATGGCTCACACAAGTAGGGTAATTAGGAAGAGTTTAATAAAGAAACTATTTACAAAGAAGCCGTCAGGGTTAAGGAAAACCAACTGGGGATTCAGCATGCTGGGGTCAGCACCTGGGAAGCACAGCACCTAAGCCAGAGAGAGGGAGGGAAGGACTGGGTACCAGCACCAGCAGGCAGTCCTTACAAGCTAGGAGAGGACTGCCTGACAGGAGCTGTGGACTCGGGTAGAGGGACCCACCTGGCCCATCACAACCTTGGTGGGAAGGGTTCAGGAGAATTAAGACCCTTGCCTCTTGTCTTCTGATCTCCTGCCAGTGCCTTTCGGTGGCCAAGTCCAACTGGAATCCGGAGATAGTAGGTGTAGTCCATAAAGAAATGACTCCCAGATGGCAGAGCAGGGCAGAGAAGGCAGAGAAGAGGAGCAAATGGAAAATATCCAGTCTGGAAAACATCTTCATTTTCACACAGGGTTTTCTAATTGCCAGTTACTGTTTTTCATTTTTACTTTCCTGGTATTTCAAGGGAGAAGTTGAATGAATGGTAATATATTATAGTTAAGCATCGCCTTTCCTCTTTTTGAATCGTATCGTCTGCTTTTACTTCAGCACCATTCTGGAGATGTAAAGGACTTACAGTAGTTTATGTTGAAAACATTTAAACGGAAACGAGTCCATTCCAATCATACTCCTTTAGATCTCTAAAATAGGAACATTATTCAAGGTAACATTTGATTGCGCCAAGCCATTTTATGCACTGAATAAATTAGGCATTGTCAGCAAGTTTACAAAATGAATAAAATACAGGACCCTAACAGAGAACATCTCCTTTGTCTAGAATACTCTATAATTGTGGCATTTAGTTATGTAGAGGACTTCCACGCCATATGTTTTAACAAATACTTTGGGTCATAAGGCTATGTATAATGGAAGGATATAATTAAAGTTTAATCTGTTCAGTAAAAAGGCACCATTAATTACTCTAAGCAATTTGTTGGGTTATTAATTGGTTCTGGAAACATGTCAAGATACTAATTTAAATGGAATTTTTTTCCTTAATTGTCTAGACAGCCCCTCGGCCATACACTGCCCCAGGAAATATGCAGCCTCCAATTCGATTAAAGCCTCTTCCCAGTAATCCTGCAGTAGGAACTGTTCCAAAGATAACTTCGGGGTCCAGATCGAAAACCTCATTGCTGGAAAATGAAGCTCCATTTCCCATTGGGGTAAATGTTACTTCTTCAAGAAATCTCTTTTTATTCTTCATTAGAGTATTAGATTATCACAGGTTTTAAGATGGAAAATTCAATTAATCTACTCAGTGAAATTTATATTGTGCACTTATTAAGCATTTACTGTGTACTTCTGTGAAATTTATATTGTGCACTTATTAAGCATTTACTATGTACTTCTGTTTAATTATATCTTTAACTGGAAGGCCTATAATTTCTGTGCTATTAAGCAAAATGAGTAAGGAATAGATTTGTAATAATATAAGGTTATCTTTCATTAATCTGAACGATTGTATGAAAAACAAAGAGAAACTTCTTGTAGCCAGATATGACTTCTATCAGAATAGACCCAGTGTTGACTGATTCTAAATTTTAAATGCATGAAACCTAGAAAGTGAAACTTTCCAAGAATAGGCTTGCATTTGCATGCTGACTTACTTTACCATCAGTGTATGAAATTGCTTCAAGTTTGACTCTGGAGAAGGTTGGATATAGAAGAAAAAGAATGTCCCTCTTTAAAAAATGGTGAATTAATCCACATAGGAGCTTGACTTTGCTTCCTTTTCAAGGTTATGTCTCTGGTAATTTTATTTTAACAGAGTACTGGAGGGAAACATGGTAAACGTAAAATTACAAGTTACTCAAACAAGGATGAATAATTAAGACATTCAGTAATTAGGGAGGGTATCGTTTGTATTTCTAATATGAAGAAGAAACATTTGCCAGCTTAAGAAAGAGCCTGTGTCATGAGAACAATTGTCACTGTGTTCAAATGGATGAATTTCGTTCCATTTCTTATTAGAAAAATAAGACATGAAATTAAGATATTTTTTCTTTTTTTTGAAATTAAGATATTTCTGTCTAGAACTGACAGATAACCTTGATACTAAGAAATTAATCCAGATAAACAAATGATTGTGTTTCATAATAAAAGTATAATATAACTCTAAAAATAATAACTAATATTTATCCATTTAATATGCTTTTCAGCTTATGAAGCACTTTCCACAAACCTTATTTTAGTTAATTTAATAGTACTTTCCTAGAAACAGGAAAAATTAAACCAAGAGTGGTAGAGCTTTGTCTAGGGAATAGTACTTAAGTCTAGGCAGAAGCTTGTGGGGTCATAAGTCAATTAGGCTGACACTTTAGGATCTGGTGTCCACATTGAAAGCCTAGAGATTTCCTGTTTCAGCTAGTGTCCAGGAACAGACAGGTCCTGAGAGATTGTCTCAAGTTAACAAGAATAACACAGAACAAGCTCATTTGTCTCCTTATAGTAAACCAAAATCAGCAGCCAAATCATAATCAGGGGCCATTAATTCACCAGATATCAAATAATCAAAGCTGTAGAAGCAGTCCATTATCCCCCTATAGACAGACCTCCATGAGAAGCCAGATCACAATGAGAAGGTTGCCTAGTGAGCATAGAATCAGAATGGGGGTATATAGGGGAATGGAATCAGGTTAAAATGGCTTGATGTACCTATTTCATCTTAGGAATGGGCTTGCCAAAGGTACCAGAAAACTCAAAGGTCTTTGGCTAAATCCCTGTATCTTCCAGGGGTAACTTTGCCATTAGGATTGGAAATATTTGAAGTCCAATGGGTGGGATTTTCTCTCCCCTAGATAGTGCTTGGATGGGTACGTTCCACATTTGCCAAGGTGATTTTATTATTTTATCTAAGCTCCTATACTTTGATAGATACTTTTTCCTATTAGATATGTAAATACTACTAATCAAGTAATATTCAAGTTCTGCTGGCTAGGGAGGGATTTTTTTTTCCCCCTTTAGCTGATTTTCCCATTCTGCTCTGAGCCATTGGGTGGATTTATTAGTTAAATCTGCATAGGGCCTTTTATTTTCCTATTCTCAAGTTTTGGGGTATGAGTGATTGAGGGATAAGCACTTAATAGTAGCTTACTTAGGCTGACAAGATTTAGATCAATTCCATTTTGATTTAAACTAGCTAAACTTACACTTTTCATTCAGTAAATATTTATTGGGCACTTACTATGGACTAGGTTCTGCTTTAGGCATTAGTGATACATCAATTATCAAGGCAGACAAAAGTCTCTAATTTATTGGAGCTTATACTGTAATGTACACAGGCAAACTGTACTGCCAGAAGACATGTAATTTTTCCATGGCATTGATGACGAAGATGATTTAATATAAAATCAGACAAAAAATTTCTAAAGAATAGTAGCCTTCATGATTGCTGAGTATGTAGTGAGTACCCACTAAATTCCTACTGCTTTCTTTTTTTTTTTTTTTTTAAAGATTTTATTTATTTATTTGAGAGAGAGAGAATGAGAGACAGAGACCACGAGAGGGAAGAGGGCAGAGGGAGAAGCAGACCCCCTGCTGAGCAGGGAGCCTGATGCGGGACTCAATCCCGGGACTCCAGGATCATGACCTGAGCCGAAGGCAGTCGCTTAACCAACTGAGCCACCCAGGCGCCCCCTACTGCTTTCTTAAAAAGTAAAAGTTATGCATGTGGGAATTGTTGGAAGGGACAACAGACATAAGCAAGTTTCTAAGTATCAGGAGTGAAAGTCTTCAGTTTAGGCAAAAGCAATTTGGTCAAAAACAGGGTGGTTAAGATGCGACTGAGTAAAAATTGTGACTTAATTAAAAATAATTATCCTTACAATGAGAGTTTCTCATACACTATTGATAAGTATAGAAATTACCATATCTGTTTGTGAAGGCAATGTGGGAATATCTCTCAATATTTTAAATGAACATGCTCAAGCATTTTTATATATAGGAATTTATTTTAGGAATATACACATATGTGAAAAGAAAGAGATTCAAGGGTACTCAGTATTATAATATTCGTAATAGTGAACAATTTAAGACACCTAACAATTTAATAGGATGTTGTTTAAAAACATAGTTTATGAAAGTATGTTTAAAAAAAAAAAAGGTAAACTTATTTTTACCAGCATGGAAAGATGTCTAAGACACTGTGGACTAAAAAAAGCAAGGTAAGGAATGGCATGTTAATTTTTTAAAAATTTATTAAACCATTTCCAAGTAAGGCATACAATTGACTGATAACTACTTAGAAATAATAATTTAAAAAATCTCCCAAGTCCCAAAGTTCTGGATTCATTGATTTTATTGTTCTTATTATTTTCACTTAGTTTATATTTGTTATTACAGTATCAATGCACACCATCACAGAAAAATTGGAAAATGTGAGAAAAGAAAAATGAGAACATAAATAGCACCTGCAATATCACCTATTTTAACAATTCTAAATTCATTGGTGAATATCTATTTAAATCCCTTTCTGTTCACATAAATGTTTGCAATCAAAATATGGCCTATACGTGCCTTTATTTATCCTGCTTTTACTTACTTAGCAATGAGAAATGTTTGGAGAAAGACTCTCCTTTCTTAACAATAACTTTTCACTATATTTAAGCATCTCAAAGAATAAACTGGCTGAAAAAACCATACCAAATAAATTGGTAAAAGTGGGTAAATGGATAAAGTGATTAAAGATGCCTTAAAGTTTGGAAAACTACCTCAGATGCACAAAATGACCAATTTATGAAAATTCAAAGACTCAAATATATTTGAAAAATGTGATATGATTATTGATTACACCTTTGGTGCTTTTCTATTTTTGATTAATACAGAGATACAGTTTTTCAAATAATACAAAGATATGTAAGATGGAAAATGATATCTCCCAATAATCCAAATCCCCAAAGGCAACCCTTAGTTTAAAGTCTTCCAGTCATCCCTGATTTTATCAAAATCCACATACAAATTTATTTAAAAGAAATTGTGATCACATCTCATGGACCTTTTTATGTCAGGATGAATAGATTCATACTATTCTCTTTGAAGCCTGATGAGAATCTATTACAAAGACAAAAAAAAAATTTAGTTAAATATTCTCCTATTGATGGACTTGATGGCTCAACTGAATTTGGGGTGTGTGTGTGTGTGTGTGTATCCTTTTACACATTTACATCAACATATTGTGCAGTTATCTTGGTAGGATTTATTCCTACAAGTTGAATTTGTAGGAAAAAATAATCTTTGGGTCAGAATCTGCATTTGGTTCCATGATATTATATTATCAAGGAATATTATAACCCCTGCATGGATGAAATCAATGTGGAAAAAGTACTAATACTCCATTGTTAAATGGGCTATCCAACCCTGCCTCAAAGTACAATACTTCCAACTCCTTGATTTTAAATTGTTTAATTGTACTGGGTCCCCATAGATTTAATGGGTTATTGAGGAAAAATCCCAAAGTACTATAAAAATGCCATCACTGTGTATTTGTCATAAAAGTATACTTCAATAAGGTTAGAAAGTCACGAAAATTTAACTTGCTATGGATACTACAAAATGCCATTTTTCAATTAAAAAATGAAGTGTTTGAGTTCGCCTTTTAATGTCAGTTGTATTTATGTGCAATGTAAATCATGCGGTCTTGTCTTTAATTTTGGGTTACATTGGTGACTACTTCTGTTTTACTGGCTGTTATGTCGTGAAATGTGATTACAGGGCAAGAAGGCAGTGATGAAGTTCAAGAACTCCATGGACAATTCACAGGGAGTGAATCGCTATCAACTTCCAAACATTAACAATTACATGATGCCTATTCCTCCTGCACCTCCTCCCCCCAGTGGAAGAATCATAAGGGAAAATAGACTTGAGTCATGGAGAAGGAGAAGATTTCGTCCAACCACTGCTCCAGATGGCTTAGATCCTCTCTTTACCAGGGTGAATATGGAATCAAGTTTTCTTTTATTAATTTAGCATAGATTACATTGTGCTATTAAATTTCTAGATGTGAGATACAAATGAATCTAGTGAAATCAAATGCAAAATGCCTTGTAAAAATAAATATAATAATTTCATAAATGTAATTGTAAGCTTGGATGAATCTGAAATCAAATACTTGAGTAGCTCCATTCAGTAACTAATTTAGCACAATTAATTTAAAAAGTCCACTAAATCTTGTGGTCAAATTTAGTTTGTACTTTGCCCATTTCTAAATTATTTATTTCCTTCAGTTTGCCCATTAAATCACATGTTGTCAGAAGTATTTTAACATTTAATTTGTGAAAATTCAGGAACTTAAGTATACCCCCAAGCATAATATGCCATATAAAATATCTTATCAAAGCTTCCTTTTAATGATTTTTGGAAAATTACTGTATAATATTTAGAAAATATTTTCTTTCAATGTTCTTTGAAAATATTGTAGCTGGTTGTACTCATTTTCTCAAAATGCCGAAGAAAATAGTTCTACGGCCAGTTAGACTTTATATAGATACAGGCTGGTATGAAGGCAGATCTCTTAGCTTTTACTGTGTAAATATACAACTAATAGTAATTAGGTATAACTTCTGTGGTTATTAGCGGATTGGAGGTCTGCATTTCACTGGTTGAGAATCAGTGCTGGCCGGCAGGCGGACTGCATGCTGGCTCTTGTAAACCCGCCTCACTCCGACCCGGCAGCTATCCTCATCAAGGGCCTCAAAACACTGGACCTGTCTTGCATGCACTTGCTCAAATTGTCTCCTTTCAATTCCATGTTCCCCAGTTTTCTTCCATGGTTACGGTTTTGGACAAAACATTGTATCCCTGGTGTCTGAGGCCCACTTCCACCCTGTGTCCTCGATTGTATCTTTTTCCACTGCCCATCATTCTCTCTGATTTGGATTTTCTTCCTCCCTGTAAAATTCATCGCTGTCTGTCAGCATCCCCAGGCTTTGCACAGAGTGACGGGATCCTCTCTTCACAGGCTGTAGCCTTGGAGTCGTCTACTCTTCTCTTACTGCGAAGTTCTCTGAGGTGTGGTGGACGGTAGCTTCATCTAACAAACCACCCTGGGCAACTCAGCTTACAATGACAAAGGTTTCTTTCTTTTTAACAGTTTTCATTTAAAATTGTATATAAGATTACTTTATTCCTGCATCTCCTCAATCGTCTCGTCCTTCTATTTGTCCTCTTTCCTTTGCTGCTCCGCGAGATTTGGCTTTCCATTCAAGGATCTTTTTGTGGTCTTTGTCCAATTTCAGTCCAGTGATGACCACCTTGTGAGGCTGAATGACCACGTGGACGGTTGTGCCGTCCGCCTTCTCTCGCGGCACTCCTTCAGTGTATATGGCCTGTTCTCCCTGACAACCTGGACAACTGTGCCAGTTTGGTCCTCCCACAACCTGTACTTCACCCCCTTTTCAGACAGGCATGAATCCAATGCTGTACTTCTATCTCAGCTCTCTGGAAAGAGGGGAAGACGTGATCTTCCTACGATGTGGGAAGGTGCACTGAAATGCCGTTTACGGTTCTTGCTCTGGTCAAAAGTCACAAAGGGATTGAGCTTCATTTTGGCCACTGGCACTTCAGCAATGGCCGCACAAGGGAAGAGCAAGGCTTATTGCTTGGTCCCATTATCATCTTGTGTTGGTCTGCTGCAATTCAGGGACCCAGACTGGAGGGACAGACCCTGTCTGGGGCATGCTGCCCTCATGGACAACAGAACCACGGAATGTTTCTAAGATTCCACTCAGTGTGAAACATGTCACGTATACTTGAATTCCATTGCCAAAGCATGACGGCAATGCAGTAGGAAGTATGATCCTCTCACAGAGTGGGGCAGTGAATATTTGGAGCAATAATAAAATCTACCCCATCTGCTAACTTACTTCTGAACTATGCATGCTGGTGGTGTTCTCCCTCCACTAAGCCAGCAAACACGTGCTCTTGAAGGATGTGGCCTCTGCGTAGTGGAAACAGGGAGTTCCTCATTATATTCACATGCTGGCAGCATTAGATTTTCGGATTTTAAAGTGTATTACTGAGATAAACTGTACCTAGTCATACTTTTTTTTAAAAAAAGATTTAAATATCTCCTAAACCATAAGAACATATTAAATCTATATGTGCAGTGCCCCTGGGTGGCTCAGTCGGGTAAGCGTCTGCCTTTGGTTCAGGTCATGATCTCAGGGTCCTGGGATCGAGCCCCACATCGGGCTTCCTGCTCACAGGGAGCCTGCTTCTCCTTCTCCCTCTGCTGCTCCCCCTGCTCGTGCTCTTTCTCTCTCAGATAAATAAATAAAATCTTAAAAAAAATCTATATGTGCAAGTTAAGTAACAGTAATCAAGCAAACAGCCATGTACACATCATTATTTCTTAACAAAGTAGAGCCCTGCTGCATAGCCTGAGCCCCCATTTCCTGCCCCATCACATCTCTTACTTCTTCCCAGAGCAACCATCCTACTGACTTCTATGTTAACTGAGTCCTGTTTTTCTTTGAAGCTCTATCATTTATATACACAAAACTTCAGACATAAGCTCAAATCTAGCATTGTAATGAAAGAACAATATTTACAGGAATAATAAGCTGAAATGGAACCTCCGAGTCTGAGTCTGGTTCCTTGACAGTTTTAAGAGCCTTTTCTGGAGAAGTCGGAGAGGGAAAGTCATGAGTGTTTCCTAGGAAAATGGGGCTCACCAGGGTCAGGGCATCTATTCAGGTCCTAGTGTGGACGAGTGTGTGGCCACCGGATGCCCAGCAGGAATATGGTCAGGGGAATGGGCTTCTGTAGCTGGGCACAGAGGAGAGAAGTGACTTCTCCAGTCTGTGGTCATGACAAGGGAAGCACAGATAGGCACGGGAGCCAGCTTCCCCTGAACATTCTGCACCGAGGTTAGCAACATGGGTTGGTGTCAGCTGGCATCCTGGCTTCGACAGACCTTAGCATGTCTGTCTTTCTGAGTCACGAGGTTTCAGCCTGAGCTGGTCTTTTGTTTTGTTTCCATTTCCAAACTTCTATTCTCTCTATTTGGGGAATGATAGAACTACTACACTAATGCTCTAATATCCTTATCTTTTTCTCTCCTATTTTCTATTTCTTTGTCTTTTTGTTCTACTTGATGGAGATTTCTTCAGTTTTATCTTCCACACATTCTGAGTTTTTTCTTCTGGTGCCTTTTTTAAATTCTAAGAACTTCCTTTGTGTTCACTAAATGTTACTTTTCAAAAGCATCTTGCTCTGTAGGATTTTGACTCTTCGGTATTTGTGGAGACTTCTTTGTGGGCTAATATATGTTCAGTTTTTGTAAAGAAAATGAGTCTCTTACTGTTGGGAGTAGAGTTCTACAAATGCCCAATAGATAAGAAGTTAATTATGTCATTCCTGTTTTTATATGCTTAGCATTCTTGTTTATCTGCTTTCTCAGTTCCTGAGTTCTAGAGATAATTCATTCTCTGTAATCGTAGATCTGTCCATTTCTCCTTGTAATTATGTCAAATTCTACTTTGTAAATGTTGAGACTACCTGGTTGTATGCTCTCAGCTTTAGGATTACTCTATCTTACTGGTGAGGTGATTCTTTATGATTTAAAAAATGATCCTCTTAATCACATTACTTTTGGCCTTGAAATCTCCTTTGTCTCACAGTACTAATTTTCTTTATATTAGCAAAGAATATATATTCCTTTTACATTCAGCCTTTTAATATCTTTGAGTTTAAACTTTAGCCTTTAAATTATTTATGTAGCATGTAACTTACACATTAAATTCACTCATTTTATGACTGCCATCCTCAAAACATCCTCCAAATACTCTTAGAAGGAAAATAAAAAGAGGAGGGAAAAGGCAAAGAGATATGGCTTGCTGGTGACCCACCACCTGTTCCTCTAGGAATGTGCAGAGCACAGTCCCTGCCTTCTGTGTTCTGTGTCTCTAGGAGATGATCCATGGAGCCAAATGACAAGGTGTGGTAGATCTTACAGCCCAGCAAGTTGCTACTATGCCCTGTTGCTTTGTTTCCTTTCACTGTAAGACCAGCAGAGCTTTTATACCGCTTTTACAGAATCCACGAGACTAGTTAGATTTTGCTCTGAGGTTTACCTCCACATCTCCAGATTTTCATGTCCTCATACTGTATTGCTGGTCACCTACTCTATATAGCAGCCTATTAAAATGGAAATGGCCCCGTAATAGTGTTTATAAATGTGAAAATACAGGCTTTCAAATAAGAGCCTACTTAATCATTATGGTTATTAATTTAAAAAAACAAAACAAAGTTGGTTTTTATTTTTTACGTGTTTTGTGTAATGGAGCTTCTCCAGGCATGAACTAGTCTGGGCTTTCTCTCTATCTGGTCCAGGCCCCCTCCCCCCCCTCTTAGACCTCCCATGAGCCCTGTGCAATTACTGGTGCCTGATTGGTAGGTTCTACTGCCGCTCAAATTTGACATGGTTAAGCCAGCTTCTCCATTCAGTTGCCTTGTATCTCATAAAGCACGACCTTTTCCCCAATAAAATCTCAAAATCTAGGCTCAAAACCTAGGCTTCCTTCTGTCTGCATCACACATCAGTTAATTGCTAAGTCTTCCAGAGATGTCCAATAGAAATGTAATGCAAGCCACATATGCAACTTTAATTTTCTAAGAACTACACTAAAAAATGTAAAAAGAAACATGTGAAAGTAATTTTATTAACATACTTTGTTTAATCAAGTATATTCAACATAATGTCATGTCAACATGTAATCAGTATGAGTTTTAATGAGTATCATACAATTTTTTTCATACTACGTCTTTGAAATTCAGTAAGCATTTTATATTTATGGCACATCTCATTCCGATGAGCCCCTTTCAAATGCCCCACAGCCAAATGGGGTAAGTGGTTGCTGTCTCAGACTGCAGAGCTCTAGCACCTGGACAAGGGCTCCTGTGTCTGATAATCCTTTTCCGTTCTCAGTGCTATAGCCCCGAGTCAGAGGCTTGCTACTTAACTCTTCACAGGGCTGTTGCAGTCATCTATGGACTTACGTTCTGCCTTTAAATCAAAAAATAGCTCGATGTAGCTTTTATTGATTATGACAAGCACTGGGCTAGGTGCTGAGGTTACCAAGATGAGTAAAGCCAAATCCTTATTCTCAGGAGGATTGCAGTTTAGCCGGGAAGTCAGAAATATCTGCAATTAACCATGACACATTGTGATGAGTACAATCATAGTGGTATAAATAAAGCACGATGAGAACTCAGAGGAAGGAAATGCTAGCTTTGAGGAGATTGAAGAGTGCTTCGGAGAGAAGGTGGCATTTGAAATGGGCTTTGAAAGACAAGTAGGAAGTTAGCAGATAGAATCAGGGTGCAGAGGGTCAAAGGCAGGAAGCGGAAACAAGAGCAAGCAAAGTCCATCTCAGTATTGACAGATTCTCTGTAATGAAATTAAATGAAGCTTGAGAAAATAGCTCCCAACATGCTCCTCCCCTGCTTAAGACCTTCACCAGCTTCTTTCCTAATGAAAGCAGGTATATTCTTCTGCCTGGTTCTTTTAAAATGTAGGTTTTATTATTATTCAGGTGTGTCGAGACCTATAGATCAAGAGATGATTACCATTGAAGACAGTTTGTCACTTACAATTCCCAGAAGGAGGGACATGCCATGTATATTAGGGTTCTATCCAGAATAATGTTTGACCACCTCTGGGCATTGTGGCCCAGCTAAGTTGAGAGATAAAGTTATCCATCACATGTGTCACATGGGGCCACACAGGCAGCACCAGGATTGGCCAGGAGACTAGGGAAGTGGGAGGGAAACATGGGCAAGAGCTTTTGTTGTGGTTTCTGAGAGAAGCAACAGGAAAGACAGGGTAAGCAGGTTTAGGATTGAATAGTATGAATAATTTTGGCAGGTTTTGGGGTGTGGAGGCTGTCCCTTGAGTTGTCTGCTGCTTGTTCCAGGGGTGCTTAGGGCAGGGGAACACTGGCCCAGAGTTTAAGGGCCAGATAGCAGAGGTAGCAGGAGGGTGGATGTGAGCTCTCCATTGGTTAGTTTGTCCATGAAAAGCACTCTCCCGGGCAAATCATTTACCATCTCTAGGAAGTGGTTAGTCTTGGGAGGGGTAGTCTCCCCAGGGTCAGTAAGGCCCCAGATGTCAAAACGTCAGAATACAAAGACATGCTTAGACAGTAGCATCCAAGTACTTTCAGATACTGAGTCCTTTCCAGCTTTCTGCTCCCATCCAAGCCAAACCCAACTACTCCCTGGACCCTCAGCTGGTTGGTTCACCACTTCCCCATCTCTGATCTGTGCTTTTTTCTATTATTACTTTTGGTAGGATATTCACTCACTTTTAAATCATCTATATACTTATTCTTATTCAATTGCTTTTGTTGGCTTTTAATATAATAAAATGCTTATATTCACTGTTAACAACAATGCTTCTACCTTCTATTTAGTGGACCTTCAGCACGTGCTGGAAGTTTTGCTCAGTGTTTTACATACATTCTCTCATTAATACACAC